ATTTTCTAACTTTCTCTAATAATATAAAAATTTTTGTTATATAAGTAAAAATTTTATAATAATATAATAAATACTTATCAAATTTCTTAAAAGTTTGTGTTTTATAATGCTTTCAAAAATTATCAAACTATCTTGCATAGGATCAAGCATAGTTTGACAAACTGCTATAGCATATGCAACTTTTTCTAAAGTTGCATCATCAGAGGGCCATATTTTGTTTAATATAAGTAACATATAAGTATCTTCCATGTCATCAGAAGTATTCTTAAATAGTTGCTTATAACAAGATTTGGTTTCTTCAGATCATTTCTACTTAAGAATGATCTCAGGTTTTGCTTTATTATTAATAGGAAATAAAAGATCACCAAATACAGCAAACATAGTATTCTTAATTTTGATAGTTAAGGTACTCCTCAATAATCTAAATTTCTTCAAAATAATTCAAAATATTTAAAATAATTTCACAATATTTTGAATTGTTTTAAATATAATAATAAATAAAATTTTTGAATATCGTCAAAAAAAAAGAATAATTTTAAATTTTATTAAAAATATTTTGAATTAAATTTCTTAACAAATAAACAAAAAATAGTTAAGATACCTTTAACCAAAAATTATAATAAAGATTAAAGTTATCTTTTTTTCTTGGCAATACACGTTTAATAAAAATTTTGAAAAATTTTTTACTGATCTGTAAATATTCTTCTCATAGTAAGTATTCTATTGTTTCTTCAACTTTCTTGAAATAAATTCAAAATAATTTGCCTTAAGGTAAAACTCTACAGCTGATTTAAATTCTTCTTCTTTAGAATATATTGCTTTTTCTATCAAATCTTTAGAAGCCCCCTTTATAATTTGTTATTATCAAAAATTTATTAGAATAAATTATAAATTAAAATTAAAATAAATATTAAATTAATTACTTCATAAAAAGTTTTTTTATTTGTTGTATCAAATTTATCATTCAATCTTTTTTCTAATTCATTAATATGATTATTTACTTGTTGAACTTGAGAGGAAAGTTGCTTAATATAATACAAAATTTCTTCTTGATTTTCAAAATTTTTTGCAAGGCTTCTTTCTGTTATAAAAAATGATTAAAATTCTCGAATTAATTATTGAACTATAAATAATTATTTTGAAGTTATTTGCAATATTGCACAAATATTAAAATATTTTAGAAAAATAAAGTTAAACTGTGCTAATATTTTTTAAATTGAATAAACTATATTTAAAAGAATTTTAAAATATTTTGAAATATTGCACATAATTTAAAATAATTGCAATTATTATTGAAAATTCTAATTTAATAATTTAACAATAATTATATTGCAATATTTTAATAAATTTTAATAATTTGTAAATTTTTGTAAAATTATTAAAAATTAAAAATCAAAATACCTTCAGTTGATGGTGCAGATTCTAAAAAGCATGAAAGGTTATTACTTTCTAACTCCAATTCTGATAATTGATCTACAAAACTTTTTGATCTTTCTAGTAACATTTCTTGAGTCTTTCCTTTAGCCTTTTTGGATTTATCTTTCTTGAAAATTTTTTTAGAACCTGCAAGCATACCTGAGAACATTTTCTAATATTTGTATATAAATTTAGTTATTATAAGTAAAAAATAGTTCTATTTATATTATAAGGTATTGCTAAACATCATCGCAAGTAACCATCACTGCAGGTGATCATTACTGCAAGTAACCATCACTACAGATGATCATTACCACAGATATTTTAATTAAAAAGTTCTTAAAATAGATTTAATATTTATGTTATGAATTAACCTAAATACTAAAGTTAAGACCTGGGTCTGAGTTCCAACTATAAAATCTGAATCTTAATAATTAGATACAAGCTTATAGTGATGTGGTTTCTGAATAATTAGTAATTTTTAAGATGAAGCCAAAAAGAATCAGAAACCAAGCAAAATTTTAAAGTATCCCAGAATATATAAAAACCTGTATTATTATTATTAGAAACTGAATCTTATGATTAGATTCAAATCTTATTATTAGGATCCAGATCTTGTAATTAGATCCAGATCTTGTAATTAGGATCTGGATTCAAGTATTAACTCTACTAATGCTAAATACATCACATATACATATATATGTACTATTCCAAGAACATTATTATACCCGAAATGGAAATTTATTGAAATTTTCTTATTTCCTTTCTTGTAATATACTAATTCAGAAATTGGTAAGCCATATTGGCTATGGAAAAAATTAGAGCAACTGTCAGTTTCAAACTATATATATACTAAAGGAAGTTAACAATTATTAAGAAATATTAGTAACTATCTAAAGAAAAGAAAAACTAACAGGAGTAGTTAGTAACTAACAGGAAAGTTCTAAAATGCTTAAATAATAAAAAGCTACATAAACAGTACTTTCCTTGTATATTAAGAGAAAAAGTCGAATACTTTAATGTCTCCTATAGTAATATATCTAAATAATGAGAATAGTATAGTATTAGTATTGATTAGTATAGTTTTTATTATTTTATTTGTAATCCTACTTATCTTAATAAAAATCTGAATCTTCTGTACTATAAACATAATAACTTTCTAGACAAAAGCTTATGCTAAATTATAAATCTGTTCTAAAAAAAAAAAAAAATAAAGAATTAGTAACATTTATACCTTAAATCATAGAATAGTATTATTAACCTATGTATACTTCCCTTTTGTTAACTATCAAGATTAGATTTGTGACACAGATAGCTAATTTTATCCAACTTGATAGTTATAGCATTCATTATTCAAATTGGTTTAATTTGCTCCTATATGAATCTCTAAAGTATAAAAGAAAACAGAAATTATTATATTAGCATTAATATAAACTAAATATATAGAAACTTAATATTTCTCTTGCAATTTAACTTCTAGTCAAAAATAAAATAATTTTTAAAAGCAAATTTCATGTTAATAATGTTAAAGTTTCAATTGTAGCCTTGATAATAAAAAAAAACACATATCTAACTATATACGTAATACAAATTTAAAGACACAAATTTAGCATAGCAATAGACTTATAAAATTTAGTATGAATAGTATAGTGCAATAATAAGTATATTATTCATTATAATTAGTAGCATAACATTATATACTCCAATTGTACATCAATAAATTCATAAGCACATCCAACTAATTAGTATATTTTTTAAGCTCACAAGTATGGGAGTTATATCCAATACCTTTACAATAGCTACACACATATTTGTTACTTTTTTCTTATGCCAAGGTATAACTACACTGAGAAGATTCATTCAAATTGTTATGTTGCCTTGAACTCTGGTGTGATCCTTCAAGTTGCCTGTTATTTTCATAATCCGATTTATTTATTATATATAAAGAGTAAACAATAACATACCTATTAAAAATAAATGTAAAAAGTAAATTATTTACCTATTATCACCCAAATCTTCTGTATATTTATTAATTCTTTGCGTTGGCTTATCAGTCTTTTGATTATGATGTTTGAAAGCATAATTTTCTAATATGCTTTTTAAGCATTTTTTAGGAGCACCCTTCATATGCATTAAATAAGAATTAGTTATATTTGGTAAGTTCTCATTATTAGACTCATTCAAATTATAACTCATTTTTCTTTCAGTCTCATTAATCCAATTTCTCAAAAGTTTATTTAATTCATTTTCACAACCAGTTTCAAGAGCCAAACCAACTACTTTTTTTGCATATCCAAGGCCTTAATTGTATTTTACTTGGCGAGATAGATTCTGTTTGATGGTCTCTAAAAATATTTGGATATGACAAATATCATTAAGAAAATTGAAATCTGGGTTGATTTGATGCTTATATATAGATATGTTATTATCAAGCTAATGCTCTCTATCAATAATAGTAATTGCAACTTCTTCTTAAGAATCATATATTATTTTATTGTATCATCGAGATGGAATGAGACCAATATGAAACATAGCTTTATCTAAACTATACATTACTGAAAAAAATGACAGCAAACTAGTCCCTTCATTATAAGATTCATACAAATACACAGGTGATTGGCATTTCTGCAAATTATTACAAAGTGTTCTTTCTGCTGTTCAATAGTTGCTACATGCCAAACCTCCTGAATAGTAGACTAGTCTATACATTTAATTAATGAGTCTAAATTTGATATAACAGACTCATATTCATCTTCAGCAAAACTTATATCATTTGTTAGATTTATCATATCCTCATGATCTAAATTGTATAATTCATAAAAATTTGCATCATCCAAGTCATTTACCTACAAATAAAAAACAAATTTTAGAAGCTCTTTGTAAAAACATAATATAGTCAGACCTCCTAAATGCATTCTATAAGAAAAAAACTTTACAAAAAAACAATAAGAACAATAAGAAAAAATACATTTACAGATATTTGAAACAGAATTTAAATGTGTATGTGAGGAGGTTGTATAGATGAATTTAGAAAGGGCTCACTGTAACAATAAAAAATAAAGATAAATAAAATAAAAAAATAATAATTCTAACCCTATAACTGACCAAGTTTTCCTAATTTTCAATTTTTTGAATACAGTAAAATAAGCTTTCTGTCATTTAATGATGCTGCATTTTTAGTACTCACAGAGTAAGTCAACTTTTGAGAGTTTTATTAATTTGGTTAAAATATTTATTTACAACATTAGGCAACCTAACAGTTGGATTCTAATTAAGTTGTTCTTCTTGTTCAAACTGTTCTTTCTTATTAAGTTGTAATTGGATTTTAATGTCTAAATAATACAATGTTGTTAAGGTCTTAATTAATCATTTTATTAAAGAATTGTAGCTTTCAACATGTTACATTGATTGTATTCTACTATTAAAAGAGCAATAGGTGTAACATAATGCCCAACCAGTCATATTGACACCAAGGGCATGTTCAAGATATTTTTGCACTACTGGATATTTTATAAGTAGATCATGCCATCGTCTTTTAAATTCACACTCAAAAAAACTGTTTTGATATTTGCTTCATGCTGCTATAAAATAAGAGTATTTCTTATGAAGCTTTTCTTTTAAATTCTTCTCAAGGTTCTTACAAATATGCCATATGCAATAATTATGTTTAGTTGAAGGAATAGTTTCATGAATAGCCACAGTCATAGCAGAGTCTGCATTTGTGAACAATAATTTTGGCACAAGACTATTAGTAGCATGTAATAGGCACTCCAAAATCCACTGATAGGTTTCCTTTGTCTTATCAGATATAACAGCTATTATGGCCAATCAAGAGCATGTATGATTATCCATAATGATAGTAAGAAATAAATACATATTGTATCTATTATAGTATTGTTAATCAACAATTAAATTGCAACAAAAAAAAAAAATATTGATAACTTAAAATTTTACTATAGCAACTTAATTTCATTTATTTATTAAGTAAAAATGATTAAATCAATAATGTCATTAGAGCAGGTTAAAAAAAAAATTAAACTCTAATTTATATATAATTAAGTGAATTTTTTAAACCATTAAGATGTAAACATATATAAACGATTATGAACATGGACAAAGACAGATTAAAAAAAACCATAAACATCAAAATGTACAACACTGATCTATTAGTTTAAGCTGTATTATCATTAATTGCAACATCATAAAACCTTCTTCATAAATCAATTTGTGATGATCGCATCCAAAATAAGCCAGTAAGATAATTGTCTTCTCCCTCTAACCTCGCATTAATAAACTACCTATGTTTTTCACATTGTAGTTGCATTAATTTCTTATATGTTACAGCTGCATCAGTCTTTATTAGATCTTTGTTATATCGAAAATAACAAATTGCATTGTACATATTCTTTAAACAAATTACAATATTGGAAAAGCATTCTTGAAGTTCACAGATAATCGGACCCACGTCACAAGCAATATTTGAAGAAATTTAACCTTCTTGAGCATTTCAAAACTAAGACATTGAAACTTTAATCCTATACTTTGTATGTTTTTGGCTAGTGGGTGGTTGTGATCTTTACATATTGATGTAACACATATAATACCCTCAGAAAGGTAAAGATTAATCTTCTATAGGCAGTTTATTTTTATGCTCTCATATTCATAATTATTTTCTATATCGGCTTTTTTTGGGGGATAGTATTTGCAAGACTTTTTGCATTCAAAAGTATGATGAACAACTTCATTTCTTTTATTTTTTTGAAGTCGACATTTTACAACTTCAAATCCATTTTTTATACCATGCTTTTCAATATGCTCTATAGCTAGATCCTAATCAACAAAAGTATCGTCTAATAAGAAAACCAATATTTAGACAAAGTAATATAAAATAATTAGTTATGTAAAAAAAAAAAACCTTTTTTATAACTAAATATTTCATTATTATCTATACTTTCACTATCTGTATTCGTATTCACATCTGCATCTATTCTCAAATCCATATATGCATCCATATCAGCATTCATATTCATATCAGCATTTATATTCATATCAGCATCTATTTCCATATAAGCATCTACTTCTGTATAAGCATCTAAGTCTATGTTTATATAAGTACCTGCATTCGTATTAACATCAGAATTCACATATGTATTAATTTTCTTTTCAAATTCTTTTTGTAAGTTATTAACATCTTCCTCCTCCTCTTCTTTAAAGGCATAAACCTCTAAGAAGGAAATTTTACAAGCACTTCACTTCATTTTTAAGAATAAACAACTTTTTCTTAGTAAATAGTATTATTGGATTGATCACAATAACTGCTATATAAACCTTACTTCATATGTATTTGTATGTATTTGCACCTGTAAGTTAACTATATATGGATAGATAGATGCTATGCATTATAAAATTTTAAAAGTATTGCTAAACATCATCACAGATGACCATCATTACAGATGACTATTACTACAGGTGACCATCATCACAGGTAATCATCACTGAAGGTAACTTTACCATAGATAGATGTTATACGAATATTACAATATTCCAAGACAGATCATGTAATTTATATTCAGAAATTGAACTACCTCAAGATTACTAACAAATTACTAGTAACTATAATAAAATTTTCATGATCATGTGATAATATATGAAAAATTAGCCAATAAAGAATCTTGACTCAGTGTAATGTCATGCAATTAAAATAAATATACATTTAAAAAAAAGTGCCTTTATCTTAAGAATTCACTTAAGAAACAACTCTTTATGTATTAACAACAAAATTTCTCAAGTAATTTTACTATATATTTCTCAATATATGGCCTTAGTTTAAACACTAACCCTAACATAAATGAACTTAACAATTTTATTGACTATCACATGATCACGAAAATTTTGTTGGTAATGCTAAAGAAGATCCAGGATCCAAAAATTAAGAACTAAAGTCATGCCATGTGCAGTTAGTTTTTTTTTGATATAGTAGCATATAGATCATATATTAAACGCATACAACTATGACCTCAAGAAATTATACTTTTACTATTGCTATTATATTTTTACATATTAATAAGCAACATACAATAATTTTTTGAATGTGACTATCAAATTATATGACCCGATATGCTTTTGGTATTTCAATTAGTTATGCAAATGAGCTTAGATAAAATCTAAAATTTTATTATATATGTAAAGCAGTTTCATCCTAGTATGATCTACATAACAAATGTTACTCAGGTTTTAAATAATATCGCATTTGTGAAGAAATAATCAAGTGACTAACTGCATAAAGCTGTTCAAAAGACTATTCAGATAAAATTTGAATTAAGTTATTATAAGAACTTAATATTGCAATTAAGGATGATCTAAAGCCGAATAAGATTTTATTACATCACATACTTCTAATTAATTGATCAATTAATAATCACAACTACTTAGTATTAGACAATCTCTAAAATGTCATTATTACTGATTTATATAATCAGTAAAAGCTTAAATATAAGTTAAATTTAGTATGTTACAGTGGATTAATAATCAAATAAACTACAAAGAAAAAAAAAATAAAAGTCAAATTGCATTGAATTTCATTCATTTTTTTAAGTTATATTTCAAATAAATTTGGTATTCCACCAACAAAGTATGAAAAAATCACATAAAAAAAGTAAAGTCTGAGATTATAATAATGAATTACATTCTTAACTGTTTAATTTTCCTTTTTTGCCTTTACAAATATTAAAATTTTATAATGTACAGCATCGATCTATCTATATATGGTTAACTTACAGGTGCAAATCCATACAAATACATATGAAGTAAGTTTATATAGCAGTTATTGTGATTAATCTAATAATACTGTTTATTAAGAAAAAGTCGTTTAATTTTAAAAATGAAGTAAAGTGCTTGTAAAATTTCCTTCTTAAAGGTTTATGCTTCTGAAGAAGAGAAGAAGAAAGACGTTAATAACCTACAAAAGGAATTTAAAAAGAAAATTAATGCATATGTGGATTCTGATATTGATACGAATGCAGATGCTTATATGAACATGGACTCAGATGCTTATACAGAAGTAGACACTTATATAAAGATAGATGCTAATATGGATATGAATGCTAATATAAACATGAATGCTAATATGGATGCATATACAGATTTAAGAATGGATGCAAATGTGAATATGGATACAGACAGCAAAAGTGTAGATAATAATGAAATATTTAGTCTTGAAATGGTTTTTTTTTTTTACATAACTAATTATTTTATGTTACTTTGTCTAAATATTGGTTTTCTTATTAGACAATACTTTTGTTGATTGGAATCTAGCTATAGAGCATATTGAAAAGCATGATATAGAAAATGGATTTGAAGTTGTAAAACATTAACTTCAAAAAAATAAAAGAAAAAAGTTGTTCATCATACTTTTGAATGCAAAAAGTCTTGTGAATACCATTCCCAAAAAAAAGCTAACATGGAAGATAATTATGAATATGAGAGCATAAAAATAAACTGGCCATAGAAGCTTAATTTTTACCTTTTTGAGGGTATTATATATGTTATGTCAATATGTAAAGATCACAACTACCCACTAGCCAAAAACATACAAAGTATAGAATCAAAGTTTTAACGTCTTAGTTCTGAAATGCTCAAGAAGGTTAAATTTTTTACAAATATTGGTTCTGATATGAGTCCGATTATCTATGGACTTCAAGAATGCTTTTCCGATACTATAATTCATCCAAAGAATATGTACAATGCAATTTGTTGTTTTCAATATAACAAAGATCTAATAAAAACTAATGCAGCTGTAACATATGAGAAATTAATATAACTACAACATAAAAAACATAGGTGGTTCATTGATGCAAGGTTAGAAAGAGAAAACAATTATTTTATCAGCTTATTTTGGATATGACCATCACAAATTGATTTATAGAGAAGGTTTTATGATAGATTTTCTGTATAAACAGCAATAAGAAAGGTTACAAACAACACTAAAGAAAAGAAACAGAATTTTCCAATACTTAAGCCTAGCATTACTTGGCCACTCTATTGGTACCTAAGTGCAACCTGCTGCACTATCTCAGTTAGAGATAAACTGCTCGTCTAACTACTTAAAGCCATACCAGAAGGGTCTTTGCAATCAATGATAATATGGCTCAAACTAATAGGTCAGTGTTGTACATTTTGATGTTCATGGTCTTTTTTAATCTGTCTTTGTTCATGTTTATGATCATTTGTATATGTTTACACCTTAATAGTTTAAAAAATTCACTTAATTATATATAAATTAGAGTTTAATTTTTTTTTTAACCTGCTCTAATGACATTATTGATTTAACCATTTTTACTTAATGAATAAATGAAATTAAGTTGCTATAGTAAAATTTTAAGTTATCAATATATTTTTTTTTCTTTGTTGCAATTTAATTGTTGATTAACAATACCATAATAGGTACAATATATATTTATCTCTTACTATTGTTATGGATAATCATGCACACTCTTGATTAGTTGTGACAGCTGTTATATCTGATAAGACAAAGGAAACCTATCAGTGGATTTTGGAGTGCCTATTACATGCTACTAATGGTCTTGTATTAAAAGTATTGTTCACAGATGCAGACTCTGTTATAACTGTGGCTATCTATGAAACTATTCCTTCAACTAAACATAATTATTGCATATGGCATATTCGTAAAAACCTTGAGAAGAATTTAAAAAAAAAGCTTCATAAGGAATACCCTAATTTTATAGCAGCATGGAGCTAATGTCAAAACAGTTTTTCTGAGTGTGAATTTAAAAGATGATAGTATAACCTACTTATAAAATATTCAGCAGTGCAAAAATATTTTGAACATGTCCTTGGTGTCGATGTGACTAGTTGGGCACTATATTACACCCATTGCTCTTTTAATAGTAGGATACAATCAACGCAACATGTTAAAAGCTACAATTTTCTAATAAAATGATTAATTAAGATCTCAACAATGTTGTATGATTTAGATATTTAAATCCAATTACAACTTGATAAGAAAGAACAGTTTGAATGAGAAGAACAACTTAATCAGAATCCAACTGTTGAGTTGCCTAATGTTGTGAATAGATATTTTAACTGAATTAATAAAACTCTCAAAAGTTGACTTACTCTGCGAGTACTAAAAATGCAGCATCATCAAATGACAGAAAACTTACTTTACCATGTTCAAAAAATTGAAGATTGGAAAAACTTGGTCAGTTACAGAGTTAGAATAATTATTTTTTTATTTTATTTATCATTATTTTTTATTATTATAGTAAGATCTCTCTAAATTTATCTATACAACCTCTTCATGTATACATTCAAATTCTGTTTCAAATATCTATGAATGCATTTTTTCTTATTGTTCTTATTGTTCTTTAAGTAAAGTTTTTTTTCTATAGAATGCATTTAAGAGGTCTGACTATATCATGTTTTTACAAAAAGCTTCTAAAATTTGTTTTTTATTTGTAGGTAAATGACTTGAATGATGCAGATTTTTACGAATTATACAATTCGGATCATAAGGATACAATAAATCTAACAAATGATATAAGTTTTGCTGAAGATGAATATGAGTCTGTTATATCAAATTTAGACTCATTAATTAAATGTATAGACCAGTCTACTATTTAGGAGGTTTGGCACATAGCAACTATTAAACAGTGAAAAGAACACTTTGTAATAATTTGCAGAAATGCCAATCACCTGTGTACTTGTATGAATCTTGTGATGAAGGAACTAGTTTGCTGTCATTTTTTTTTCAGTGATGTACAGTTCAGATAAAGCTATGTTTCATATCAGTTTCATTCCATCTTGATGATACAATGAAACAACATATGATTCTCAAGAAGAAATTGTGATTACTATTATTGGTAGAGGGCATTTGCTTGATAATAACATATCTATATATGAGCATCAAATCAACCCAGATTTCAATTTTCTTAATAAGATTCGTCATACCCAAATATTTTCAGAGACTATTAAACAGAATCTATTTTATTAAGTAAAATACAATCAAGGCCTTGGATATGCAAAAAAAGTAGTTGGTTTGGCTCTTGAAACTGGTTGTGAAAATGAATTAAATAAACTTTTGAGAAATTGGATTAATGAGACCAAAAGAAAGATGAGTTACAATTTGAATGAGTTTAATAATGAGAACTTACCAAATATAACTAATTCTTATTTGATGCATATGAAAAGTGCTCCTAAAAAACATTTAAAAAGCATATTAGAAAATTATGCTTTCAAACATCATAATCAAAAGACTGATAAGTTAACACAAAGAATTAATAAATATACAGAAGATTTGGATGATAATAGGTAAATAAATTTACTTCTTACATTTATTTTTAATAGGTACGTTATTGTTTACTTTTTATATATAATAAATAAATCGGATTATAAAAATAACAGGCAACTTGAAGGATCACACTGGAGTTCAAGGCAACATAACAACTTGAATGAATCTTCTCAGTATAGTTATACCTTGGCACAATAAAAAAGTAACAAATATGTGTGTAGCTATTGTAAAGATATCAGATATAACTCCCATACTTGTGAGCTTAAAAAATATACTAATTAGTTAGATGTGCTTATGAATTTATTGATGTACAATTGGAGTATGTAATGTTATGCTACTAATTATAATGAACGATATACTTATTATTGCACTATATTATTCATACTAAATTTTATAAGTCTATTGCTATGCTAAATTTGTGTCTTTAAATTTGTACTATGTATATAGTTGAATATGTGTTTATTTTTATTATCGAGGCTACAATTGAAACTTTAACATTATTAACATGAAATTTGCTTTTAAAAATTGTTTTATTTTTGGCTAGAAGTCAAATTGCAAAAGAAATATTAAGTTTCTATACATTTAGTTTATGTTAATACTAATATAATAATTTCTGTTTTCTTCTATACTTTAGAGATCCATATAGGAGCAAATTAAACCAATTTGAATAATGAATGCTGTAACTACCAGGTTGGATAAAATTAGCTATCTGTGTTACAAATCCAACCTTAATAGTTAACAAAAGGGAAGTATGTGTTGGTTAATAATACTATCTTATGATTTAAGATATGAACATTACTAATTCTTTATTTTATTTTTTTTTTAGGACAGGTTTATAATTTAGCATAAGCTTTTGTCTAGAAAGTTATTATGTTTATAGTACAGAAGATTTGAATTTTTATTAAGATAAGTAGGATTACAAATAAAATAATAAAAACTATACTAATCAATATTAATATTATACTATTCTCATTATTTAGATATATTACTATAGGAGACATTAAAGTATTTAACTTTTTCTCTCAAGATACCAGGAAAGTACCATTTATGTAGCTTTTTATTACTTAAGTATTTTAGAACTTTCTTGTTAGTTACTAACTACTCTTGTTAGTTTTCTTTTCCCTTAGATAGTTACTAATGTTCTTTAATAATTATTAATTTCCTTTGGTATATATATAGTTTGAAACTAATGGTTAACCTAATTTTTTCTATAGCCAATATGGCTTACTGATTCCTGAATTAGTATATTACAAGAAAGGAAATAAAGAAATTTTAATAAATTTCTATTTCGAGTATAACAATGTTCTTGAAACAGTATGTATATATGTATATGTGATGTATTTAGTGTTAGTAGAGTTAATACTTGAATTCGGATACTAATTACAAGATCCAGATCTAATTACAAGATCTGGATCCTAATAATAAGATCCAGATCTAATCATAAGATCCAGTTCCTAATAATAATAATATGAGTTTTCATATATTCTGAGATACTTTAAAATTTTGCTCAGTTTCTGATTCTTTTTAGTTTTATCCTAAAAATTACTAATTATTCAGAAACCACATCACTGTAAGCTTGTATCTAATTATTAAGATCTGGATCTTATAGTTGGAACCTGGACTTAGGTTTTAACTTTAGTATTTAGATTAATTCATAACATAAATATTGGGTCTATTTTAAGAACTTTCTAATTATAATATCTGCGATGATGATCACCTGCGGTAATGGTTACCTGTGGTGATGATCATCTGCAATGATGGTTACTTGCAGTGATGGTCATCTGCAGTGATGTTTAGCAATATCCTTATGTTTTATATTTAAATTAATTTAAATATTTTAAATATTTATATATTTAATAACTCTTCTTTGCAAATTTCAAAATGTAAAATCAGCAAATGCTAAAAACAAAAAATAGAAAAATAACAGATACAATAGAAGAAAACCTAAATAAAAAAGCCCACTCTGAGCAAAAAAACTACTCATATAAGATACAAAAAAGGATACAATTATCTTAACTATACAAAGCAAAAGTAAAAAGAGAAAATTTAATACTTTTAACCAAAAAAGTAAACTAAAGCTATTAAGGCTATTAGTAATACAAAGTTATAAAGTAACAATATCAGGCATGATGAGCAGCAATCACAAATATCCTACTAGACAGCAACAACATCATACCAACCTAGATGCTACTTACAAAGATGCCTATAATAAAAAAAGATATACTGTTTCTTTTTAAATTCTAGCTAGTAACAAAAGTGAGTAATACAGCATAGCCCTTACAAAACAAGCAATAATGTTATTTTTAGCAAACCAGTATAACAACAACATAACACAAACTGGCAACAATAATAATACAACAAACATCATAAGAAAAAAAAATAATACTAACACAGTAATAATTACATATAATATACAAATTTATATAGTCATAAAAGGAAATCAAACAATTATGTTATAGAATCAAATACCAGATATGAAAATAAGTAACTAATACAACATAGAACTTATACCAATTGAAATACAAAACTCTTATGAAGCAATAACAAATAGCAACCAAGCTATAAAACTAAAACAAAACAATCAAATAGATAGAAATAGAACAAACAAACAACCTTATAATATTAAACACAAGTAACAAACCTATATATAGTTAAATAGTTCAAAAAGATGCAAGTATAAGCAATATGACAGAAATAGAAACTGACTATACAGAAACATGGACCCAACAAGTAAATGACAACCTGAAGGCCAAAGTTACTACACTATTTAACTGCAAAGAATAGTCATATAATAGTGTAATTAAAGTATATAGATTTAAAGAAAAGATACAAGCTTTATTACATATAACTATAATTAAAGCCAACTCAAAGACCAATTTCTTCTGCAACTAAAACAAAATTTAGACACACCAATCCAACCTTCTTCACAACTTTTATATATGTTAAAAAATTCATGCCATCATATTAAACTAAATATAACTAAATATTTACAGATGTACTAAAAAATTACAAAACCACAAATGCAATAACTATTACTAACAGAAATACCCAAAATCTAATTCATATAAAATTAAGACAGAAGTTAATTATAGACTATATAACAAACTTGAATTTCAAAACTTAACCTTTTAAACATATAGCAAAAGCCTTAAAATACTATAAGAGTTTTACAAAAGATAAAACTACAATAGATACAGAAGCAATTCAAGAAGTATTAAATAACACCCTAACATCATATTTAGCAAAACTACCTAAATCATTAGAACTTATTTTTGAAAAAATACAAAATATTCTTTCTTTTATTTTACTAATTAAACATAGATTACAGACAAGAGCAATTGTTACAGCTTTATACAAATCTACTCCTTCGAACAACTTTCAGAAACCTATTTCACTAAACTTCCATCCTTATTAGCAAACTCAAAAGACTTAGATAAAGCAATAAAGAATCTATTTTCAATTATACAAAAAAGAAAACTTACAAGATTAGCTTACTATAAAAAACAACTTTAAGACTATTATGATTGTAAGAAATATCTAACTACTACTTTAAATTACTATCACCTATTCTGATGAAACTTTTTTTACTATGGGCATATCAAGATAATACTTTCCAATCAATAAAGTAGACTCTCCAATAGATATAAAAGATATAATAGCATAATTAAAAAAGCATTACATCTTTCAAGTTATACCAAATAACTATTTTAAAGCAAAACTAAATCTTTCAAAAGATTCCTTCAAAATTAAAACTACAAATATTTACTTTTTTCTAATTACTAATAACACAATAGCAAAAAACTTTATAAATAAAATCAAAAGTATATACAAGCTTACTATATCTTTTTCAGAAACAACTATGATAGCAAATTTAACAGATAAATTCAGACTACTTACAAACCTAACTGAAATTACAGACTACAATTTAACTCTGCCAATTGACATACCTAAAAGACTTACAGAAACAGCACGAATGCTAAAACAAACATACTACTTCTAAAAAATACCTGAAAGCTAGATTCAAATAACTAACAATACATATTTATAAAATATTGGATCTGATATACTATTAGATTAAAAACCTGAAATTCCAAATTTAATTAAGAAAATTCAAAAAAAACTGAATACAAAGGATATAGAAATGACAAATCTAGACCTACTTATTACTCAACAAAACAAAGCAACTAAAATATTAAAAACCTTAAAAAAACACTATATAATAAAAGAAATTTCAGAATTTCTTTTTGCACTCTCACCTCTTCCAGAACCTAACTAGAAAATATTTGCTTATATGCAAAATAAAGACAACAACAAAAAAAGATAATAACCCAATCTCAATATCCCAAAAACAAAACACATCACTTTTTCTACTAAACAACAACAATTCTATTAATATACTACAAACTCTTTTAATGAAAGCTTTATAGATATCAAAAATTATCTTAATATTGTAACTTACAATATACAGGAACTTAACAAACCACTAAAACTACAGATTTGGCTAGAACATTGTATCAAAAACAATTATCATATTGTTTCAATCATGGAAACCAAACTCAAAAACTCTTCTATTTCAACACTTTCCAATCTACTATACAAAATTTACACATCTAACTTTGAATCAAAAAACAATTCTCAATATGAAGCTAGCATGAAAACTGTGATCATGCTTTATTATAAACTTCAATCTTATATGTTTAGTATACAAACAGTAGCAAGCATAGCAATAAGCATTAACTTTTATTTATCTTCAAATAATAAGCTTTGTCTTATCTTAGTATACCTTCTATCAAACTATTCAGAACAACTTAAAACTATACAAAACACAGTCAACAATTGGTTATCTCAAGCAAGAAGCCATAACTGGTATACAATTACAATGGGTGATTTTAATGATAATTATAACTACCTCAAATGAACATCAAATCTCTTTACTACACTCCAATCACTATTATCTACTAGTCTAATAGAATTCTATACAATAACTAAACCTATATAGCAAAGAGAGTTAAATTAAAGCCAAA